TTCACGCCTCTTTATTCGACTGACGCTGCTTTCTGCTTCAATTGACACTCCCAGACGTTATCTCGCATGTTCAGCTTGCTCAAATCAACAATCGGTGCTCCTCGCCTCACGATCCAGTGACACTTTGCCCAGCCACCATGGACGCGCAGTGGCAGCAATACTACTGGAATCATTATTTGATGCAGCAACATCATCAGCAGCTCACCAACCCTGACACCACAACTTCACCTCCCACCACCACTCACCACACCTACAGCCCCACAGGCACCTATGGCCCACTCACCCACGCACTCCGTACACACCACGTCCACCACTCCAACCCGTACGTGACTCCACCATACACACCGCCATCGCAGCATACACCGCCACCACAAGCACCAACATCACAGCCGGAGTTTCCACCTCCACCCCCGCCCCCCCTCCCTACGGCCGAACCTGTCACTCCACCACCATCGACATTCCAACACAGCCCACCACCACCACCAACCGCCCGTGGCAGCACAGCGCCTGCCCCACCACCACCACACATCCCATCCCCCACTCCACCAGTTCCAGACTCTTGGAACCCAACCGACCAACATTGGGACTCCAACACCCTGCACGGCCACCAACTACATCGTACAATCCAACCCACCCAGTGGTCTCGAAAAGCAGGCGTGGCAGGACTCCCAACCTTTGAGGTTTTCCCTTGGCAATTGGCTTACCACGGCACCTCCGAATTTACCGCCCGCACACTGAGCAACGGCAAATACACAGGATTTATTGCCACCAGAAGCATTGCGGAGTCGGTTTTCGTGACCCACTTTCTCCAACAGCTCCGTGAAAAACGCCTTGACCTTGACGGCATAGCGGAGACCCTCCACACCCAACAGAGCACGGACATCCCCAACAAAACCACCCACGCCCGAGCGTTTAACGCTCCCCTCATCAAACTACTTATCGACCAACTACAAACACATTCTCCAGCACCTGCGGAAGGCACCGCTCTACGCGCCCTCAAAAACACCAACGACGAACTGGCCCGCGCACGTCAAAAGCTCCACGACCTGGGCAACCCACTTACCCCAGTCAAGAGCACCAGCCGATCTTCCGCACCGGCCGCCCCATCCCATGCACCCACTCCACCACCACCAAAACCGCCAGCCCTCACTGACGTCTTGCAACCCCCACACCCAACACTGCAAGACGATATCCCCGAGGGCTGGAACCACCCAGAGATCCAACAATGGGTCACTACCTTCGACCCCACCATCCAAGAAGCCGCCAAGGACGTCGTTCGTTTGCTGCAAACGAGCAAAGTCACCACGCAGCAGCTAAAAGAAGCAGCCACAAGGTACGGCCTACCCCTCAACCGGGTCAACCGGCTCCCCATTCGTAGCTTACAACAGCTCGTGGGTGTTGGAGCAGCCATCGGCTGCTGACTCGCCATCCTTGCCCAGCAGCAACCCAGCCACACCAACCTCACCCAACTTTTCCACTTGCACCGAGCACTCTCCGTGCTCATTCACCGCACCCAATACATCGACCGTGCCGAGGCCATCTTTGCCACTGGCCTTATCCATATCACACTCCTTTTCGCATACCCTTCCAACACCCGTCGCTCACAACAATGGCGCAACCGTCCCCGCCAGCTTCACATCTTGCCCCACACATACCACTACCACAACTTCCTTTCCTCAAATTCCGTATACATCAAGCTCCACTTCAACCCTGACCAGCCCCAACGCTGCTACCATCAACATGGTCACTTCTATGTTGGCTCCACAGCCATTGGCATTCCCCACCGCGAACACAATCGCCGTGCCAAACTCAAACAACTCCAGAACAATATCCCCATTTCTGCCGAACTCTCCTTACGTTATTGGCACTCACACAACAACATCCATCACTACACTACCATTCAACTTACCTCCCATGACACATACGACCAAGCCTGGATCCAAGAGCACCATTACATCGCAAACTGGATGCCTACGCTCAACTGGCCGTTTATTTCCCACCACCTCAAGCTCAAAGCTCAAGGCTGGCAGTTCACCAAACACAGAGCCCATTTCTACTCCAGATTAGCCACCCACAAACGACTCTTCCGACGCCTTAGGCAACGCCAATACACACTCAGAGAACCACACCTTTACACCTCCACCAAGCATCACGCCCTCCAACTTCTCCGCAACCTCACCAAACACACAGCAGCCTCCTTTGAAGCTGCCAAAGAGCTACGAAGCGGCCGCCACACGGACCTTGAAGTCTATGCAATCCGGCGCATGGCCGCAAACCTGGAAGAACCCGGCCGCAGCAGAGCTCTCCACATCCTCAACAAAGCCCTGATCTACCGCAACCTCACACCGCCAAAACCAAATATTCCATTGACAGTGCCATTCCTGGCCCACGACGATTTCACTAAGCACTGCCAGCAGTGGCTTCGTACTACCATCCAGCAGCACAAGCACTTCACCATCCCCCTCCACCTCCCCTCCCACAGACTGCGAGAAGCCGCACACAAAACCCTCCGTTCCCACCTGCATAACCACCGCACATGGGAGGACACCCTCCACTCCCCGCCAGATCCAGCAGACCTCCCCTGCGCATGCGATCATCTTCGCACCCTCTTGCAGGATCCCGATACCCCCACCATCAACGGCCACTACATTCTTACACTTGACCAACTCCAACTCCCTACACATCTCGGCATTTTTCTCAACGCCAATATGAACAGCACCTACTACCCAAGCAAGGCCCGATACTTCCTCATGTTCCAGACGGCCTACACAAAATGGCTCAAACTACAAGGGCTTCCGCCATCCCTCGTTCAGCATTTGCAGCCATTCCTTGAGCACCAATGGCGCCTCCACAACACACACCTCAAGCAGCAACCCCGTTTTACGGCTCGCCTGCTTCGCCAACTCCAAGAACACCTCGGCCAACACACATTACTTCACCATGCCGACCATGAGCTCCAACAACTCCGGCTGTTCTGCCCTCGCCAATATTTCACTGGCGCCTTGAATACATGGCAATCCCCCGAACTTTTCGAACCACTTCCCTACATCACTGCCACCAATATCCACGATCACCTGGCAGCCACTGTCCCCCCCATTTTGCGCACTCGCTACAAGTGGGGCTTCCGCAAAGACTTCAACATTCCTTACGGCGTTGTCCACCTCAAGGAGAAGAAGCACTGGCAAAAAGGCCGTACAATTATCTCATACTTCCAATCACTCAGTGGCAACCTGCTTCGCATTACCAGCCGTGCCCTTGACATCATCCTCCAACACCTCTACCCTCAGCATCCCGGCCAAATGTCCATTCCCCAGCTTTGGCACCATTTTCACAGCTACCTCACCCAAACCCCACCAGACATCTCACTACACGCCACCAACGATGACCTGGTCGGCTTCTTCAACTCAGTCCCACAGCACCGACTCATCGATGCGGTTCACTCCCTCGTCCACCACTGGCAACAACAGCAACCCACACACACCCTGACGGTGGATGTTCAGGCCACCGGCAATCCTTTCCACCACTCACACATTGGCAGACACCATCGAAAACACCCTACCCAACGCACCATCCAGACTTCCGACATTACCACCATCGTGGCTTTTGCCCTCAACACATGCATTTTCCGGGCTTGCAACAATACTTACAAACAAATCCGAGGGGCCGGGATTGGATCCCAGCTCTCTCCAGCCCTATGCAATGTCGCCATCACCCTCATTGAGCATTCCTGGCATCAGATCCACAACAACCTACTTCAACACACAGACCTCCACTTTACTTACTATCGATATGTCGACAACCGCTTCATTGTCCACAACGAACATTTCCTCCAACACCCAGCCATTCAAACCCTCATCCACCACAACTTTTTTGGAGACCCAGTGGAACTCGAACCGGTGGAGGATTTTCATCTCCTCGGTTTCAACATCGACCTCCCACAACGTACCATCACCTACATGCAACCTTCCCAACCCTGGAAAATCAGGGATTCCACAACCACCGGGAGCCAGCGCTTGGCTCTATCAGGCCTCCAATCACGACTCCACACCATTCGCAAATACACCTTTCCACCCTCCAGCGCTGAAGCTGCTGCGGCTGAGCTCGTGAGGCTCTATGTCCAAAAAGGACACAACCACCACGCCTGCCACCGGTTTTTGAAAAAAGCGCCGAATGCGGCGACCTGTGTGTGTCCACCCCTGGACAAAGGGTTTTCCACCACCACTTCTCACAGGCAGGGGGGTGCAGAGCACAGTGGAGACTGCACCCAACGAAGCTATCCACTTGTGCTGGAAGCAGAGCCTGATCAGCTCTGTGCACCTGCCGTTCTACCAAGCTGTGACTCCACTCTTCCTTTGGTTTGCTGTCATGGTGGTTCCATGATACTTCCCCAAAACCTTCCTTTTGCCGCGTTTGTCTTGCAGCTGAGCCGCGCCGACCGATCTTTCAGCAGACTTGACCAACAACTTGTTGAAACACCTACAAGTCTTTCGGACTCTTCACCATGCAGTTCTGTCACCTTCCTTCCCAGCGTGGGAACTGAGTTAACTGAATACAAGTGTCAGAGTGTGCCATGTACTCTGAAGCAACTGCATTGTGTATAATGTTGTGTAATGTACATATATTATATACAGAGAGAGAGAGAGGAGAAAAAAAGACTGAGAGTACGCAAAATAAATTGCAAGATACCTGTAACATCTGCCATCTGCAGCAAAAACACACCTCGAAGCCATATTGACTTTGTTGGAGGCTTCAAACAACTCCATGCTACAGTATCGACTCCGATCCCATCCCGCCTAGCCCAGTGGCCTCCTCGAGGCCCACTTTGTCTTCAATCCCACCCTAATTGACATTGACAACTATCGAACAACTATATAGTGATCATTGATAATAATAATGCAAATATATGTAAATGTAATCCTGCAAAAGAAAACAGAATATGGAACCTCAGCTGTGCAGTTCACTCCCATTCGCTCTCTCCACCAAAACCCGAAGCCAGCCACCCATAGGCCACTTCATCCAGGTCCACATCGTCGGATGCCACGGGTGCGGCCAGCAGTTGCCGGGCCACCGTGCCCGCGCGCCGGAGCGGAGAGGGACGCGCAGGATCGGTGTCCGCACCGACCATCGCGACAGATGGATCTGCCCAGGTGGGACTGGCTTGGTGGGACTTCCTTGAGGGATAACAAAGACACGGAAAATGGGTGATTCTGCGAGGTGTTGCGGGAGATGGAGATGGTTTCGGGTGGTGGAGTGGAAGTGGCTTTCAGGATATGGGGCACCAAAAATGACCCTTCCTAGCTTCTGTATGCCAATGTTCTGAGCGTTTGAGTTTCCATTGTCATCCATCCAAGAGAGTTTTGAGCTGTGGGCTTTCAAGGTATTCAAGCTGAAGGCGGCTCAAACACAAAAGGGCTGAGGCAAAACAAAACCATCCTCTCTAACAGGAACCGGTGGCCAATGACACAAAGAATCAACTCGCGGCAACATAGAGGTACAAGGCGTTCACAAAAGCTATGCGGCCAAAGCCGAAAAGGACACCAAGTCAAGTGCACCCAGGACGAAGATCTTCAGTCACAGTGTGTCAATCGTTCAACCATGCTACCGGCAATGTTCCAATGATGGCACATGAGATTTAATTCATGATTTATAGATAATTACTGTATAGGTATAGTTTAATTGAGTGCTTGCCCAACCAAGACCCGATTCCCTTCTTGCGCTACACCAACTAGTTTTTGATAGTTTTTGTCCATGCCATCATCTTTAACCAGCTCCTGATCTCAGCACAAAACCTTGCCCCGCTACGCCGAACGCCCCGCGCAGCGAAGCTGGCACCTACGAGCTCCTCTGTAGACCAGGAGTTGTCTTTCACCATGAAGACTTCCACACCTGGCGTGTCTGTGATGGTCACCGTGGAGAGCATCGCGATGAACACATGGACACGAGCGGACCTACTGAATCCCAATGTTGCCCAATCGTGTCCTTTTGGGCCCCAGGGGCGACCGGTTCGATCCAACACGACAGGGGCGTGTCCTTTTTGGTTCCCTGGGTCCAACACGAGGAGCTCCCCTTGAGGAGATGTCCCTTGGTTCTGCTGGGCTCCATCTCCTCTGTTCCGCTGGTGCCCGGACGGACTTCGCCGTCGACTGCTCCGTGTCGGAGCTCCGTGTCGGGTGACATCTCAGGTCCTGACTAATCGGCCATCTTCACATCCTTTAGTCTCTTATGGACCGCTCTTGGTGAGGCTTCATTGGGCAACCAGGGGTTACCACCCAGAGCAACCAGAGATGCTTAGAGCTTCCACTCGCCCTTCACAAGCCAGCTTCATCACGTTCTGGATGTGTTCTTCGTCACCGTCCCCTCCCCAAAACGGAGAAACGCCACCGACCGGCGGTTTTCATCGTCATGGCTCACACCCGGGGAGCCGAAAGGGTGGTCGATGGGTCGGTTCAGCCGGAAACGGGGGGTTGGAAGTGAATCGTTTCCACTGAGAAACTCAAAGGGTACCAGCAACAGCTGGGGATGTGAACACACACATCCTGAGGTGTGAACGTCTTCTGCTTTTGCGTTTTCGGAGGTGAACGGGAGCTTCCGTTCGCATGGGCGGAAGAAGACCCTCCAAAGGGTGCACCATCTTGCACGTCTCAAGAGAAAACACCAATCTTGGGACCAAGTACCCAATGGATCCAGCTACCATCAAACAAATGATTGAGTTTTGTATACCGTACCATACCGTATACCGCATATACCTAATATACCAGGGAATCCAAATGTGGATCTTTTTTTGTTCAAACACGTTCGCACAAAAAATCCGTGCATCCGGCCTTTTTTGTCAAATTGGACAAATTTTCTGGAATTCCTCCGAATATTGAGTTTGATTGGGTTTTATCAATATAATTGTTTGGGTTTTTGTCAATAAAATGTTGATAAAGTTTGGGTTTCATATGGGTATGCTTTTGTACGGTATTGTTTTTTTGTCAATACGGCTAAAGACGCTAATTCGTTAATTAAAATGTCCGTACGATAAATTCTGTCCAAATACGGTCTTCGCACAAAAAAAGTGTTCATACGCCTTTCCTGAACGGAGAATTTAGGCTCTTAAACTCTGTGACCCCAAGTCACTGTCCCAAAGGTTGTAGTAGAAGCTTAGGCCCACTTTTAGCTCCACTCCAAGCGTAGCTCTGGTAGTGAAATGAACACAAAAGTAAACCACAAACGGCTGCAGTGAAACATACATCTATACAAGCTATGTCATGTACATGTAACTGGTGCTACATCTGATCACGCCTCCCGAGTTTAACTTCTGGGAGATGTTAACCGAGTCAGGATTAGCACTTTTAGTGAATTAGCCCATAGCCCTTCAGTACATCTTGGTCTTGTAGAAGTACCTACTCTAGCTCAAGCCGTTCACGCTTTCAAAGTCAGTTCATGCTCACCTTCCAGGTAGTGGAAGTTCATGCCTTTCATAGCTGTAGTCATTTTCTCTTCGGTGACAGCTTTCGTTAGCACGTCGGCCAACATTCGGTCGGTGCCTTCTTTCTTGAGGCGAAACTCTTTCTTTGCTGTACGCTCTTGTACCCAGTGGTACTGAGTGTCAACATGTTTAGCTCGTCCCAAGCCTCGACGGTTTCCCATGGCGATGCCAGCGGAAGCGTCCATTGTCACCTCTTTGCTGGGAAACAATCCCCAGTCTCTTGCTGTTGATGCGATTCCAAGCATTTGACATGCTCCAGAAACAAGTCCGTAGTACTCGGATTCGCCACTGCTCAGGGAGACAACTCCTTGGCCTTTGCTGTATGTTGTGAGACAGCATTTGTTGGCCATGAGTACGCCTCCTGACACACTCTTTCGTGTCCTTATGCAACCTGCATGGTCGGCGTCTGACCACATGTTGAAGGGGTTGCAGGTGCTTTGGTTTGGAAACAACTGTGCAACTCTTGGTCGATACCTGACATATCGAGCCAATCGTTTCAGCATATTCCAGTGCCTCGATGTTGGGTTCTGTAGACCTTGTGCCAATGAGGGCGTTGCAGTTTGCAGATCAGGTCGATCCTGTGCCAAATACGCGGCTCTCATAGCAATAGATCTATACATCGTTGCATCTTCGGCACTCAGCGGAACTTCTTCGTGTTGGAGTTCCTCTTGACTTGGCTTGGCCAAGGGGGTCTTGACCTTGCCTGGTTGACCAGTGCCTAACCACTTGATGATCAACTCTGCATGTCTTGGATCTGGTTCCCACCAAATGCCTTCATTTGACCAGGTGATGATGCGATTCAGCACTCTGATCTGTTGGCTTGCCTTTGGTGAACCTGGTGGACCGAGAATGCCTCGTTCCACAACTTGCCATTCTTTGGCTGCTGAAGTGTGAAACCATTTGATGTCATCAAAACTTCCAACGGTCGTGAAATCGTCTCCATGCACTTCTGTTCGAAGTTCTCTGGATGCATGGTAGTAGATGCATGGGTTGGACTTGCCTTGAACAAATCCTAGCTTTTTCATAAACTCTGCAATGGTCAGCTCACAATTCATGGGTGCGTCTCTGGTGCCGTAAAGGCTTCTGACCAATCTTCCTACCACATCTCCATCTTCAGGTCTCTTGCCTTCTGATGGAATTTCAACATAGAGTTCTCTTGTTGCTTTAGAGTAGAAATGAACTCTCTTCACATCCAAAAATCCTAGGAAAGATTGCTTTGCTTTTCTTCTTTCGCCTTTCTCCAATGGAAGGCTGTCGCTGACTGCAATGGTTAGCAGTAGCTTCAAAGCTGCAAGGCTCGGCATGGCTGCGAAAAATTCGTCAAAACCTGAGCCTCTTTTGATCTCTTGCGCTACCAATCGACTTCTGTAGAGAGGATTGGTTTCATCTTGCTTGTTCACATCTACCCATCGAGTTCCAATGATTTTGGTTCCTTTTGGAACTTTGCTTCTTGGGATCTTTTCCCAAACTCCCATTGATTCGACAATGTCGATTTCATCTTTTCTGGCTTTCTCTACCTTCTCAGGTAGCAGCTCTTTTCCACTGATGTCATCATAGTACCACCAGTCTTTTGCCTCTTCTGCCATTTCTTCTGGCAGTGGGATCTTCTCTTCACACACTGGTTTCTCTGGGTCGATGCTAGATAGCACTCTCTCTCTCTGTCGTCTAGGATTAGGCTTTCTAGAGCCATCTCCATGCTTTGGATGTCTCTTGTTCTCTCGGCTTCATCTTCATGTTCGCCTTCTGCCTTTCTCTTCTTGTCTCTATCTACTCTGGCTTTTGCTGTGGGTGATCCTGCTGGTTCATGTTGTTCTTCGTGTTCTCTCTTTTCTCCATGTGGTTCAGGTTCGCGTGGTCTGCGAATACCTGATGCTGAAGCTGATGCTGTGCCTGGTGTTGGTGGTGCTGCTTCTGGTTCGTACCAAAGTTCTGTCACAATGTCCATCTTGTGTGGTAATGCTCCATTGAGTATCTCTGGTGGAAGGTCTGTTGTCATGACTCCACTCTCAATGATTGCGTTGTTTGCATGGTTTCTTGTGACTCGGTGCCAGACGGTAGACCAATCAGGTCCTCCTGGCATGGTGGTTTGAAAACAGTAAGCTTCGACGTCAAGTCGTGCGAACACTCGACACGAATCGGGAACTCCCGATGGTCTTTTGCTTTCATATCCATGAAGGATTTGAGGTCTCTTGCCACTGACTGGTTGTGGCATGCCAGTGATTGCCTCTCCAACTCGGCTTTCATGTCTTGCAACTCTTGGGTTCTCTTCTTCTTCTCCTCTGATGCTCTCTTCAAGTCTGTCTCGACACCTGTTGGTGTGATGGATGCCTGTAGATCTCTTGCCAATCTGTGTGGCATCACAGGCTGGGCAACCTGCTGTGTACCCAAACTTTTCCAGGTCTTTCTTGGTGATGTAAAGTCTTCTCAGCTTTCTTTTCTTGTCATCGATTGCCGGTGGTTGAACTAAAGCTTCACCACTTGGGCTGGCAATGATTGGTTCCCTTGGGGCTGCAATCGCTGGTTCTTCGCGAATTGCTTGAGGATCCCAGGGAAGTCCAGTGATCGATTTCAGCAACTCTGAATCATATCGATCTTCTTCTGGCTTTCTCCGAATGGATTGCACTGTGAAAACGCCTGTGGAATTTCCTACTATCTTCTCTGTGGTGGTGTCTTTCACTCCTAGAAAAATTCCTTTGGTCCATTGGGCCTCGAACTTGTGACCTCTCTTGAGATATTCGATGGCCTCACCAAATGGTGGAATTGCTACTTTCCATTCACGTCCACGAAGTCTTGAATACGGAGTCTTTCCGTCTTGAAGTTCGGTAGATCGGAAAAACAGATTGTAGACTGTGGATGCGTGTTCAACTAACCAAGTCAAAACAGGTGAATCGTCAGGAAGTTTCTCACCATAGTTCGACTCGATTGCGGCTCGAAGAGTCCTGGCTTGTCCTTCCAAGGTTTGAACTGCTCGTTCAATCTCTCCCTTGGATTCTTTGACTCCTTTCGGGCTCTTCTCGATGATTAGAGTTCCTTCAAACCCATTCTTTACTGCCTCAACAACGGATGTGAGAGCAGGTTCAGGATCATGTCGAATGATCAGTTTGGAGTATCCTAGTTTCTTGATGTCGTTCAAAAGTACTTTGGATCCATATGGACCTTTTGTCACACCTTTGTAGGGCAACACATGAGCAAAAAGATGCTTCGTCCATCGATCTCTGACAACAAGAATTGGTGCATGGGTCTTCTCGTCCAAAACTACATCATCAGTTCGTGAATTCATGAAACAGTAGTCTACAGTCACTACTGGGGTTGTCTCATCGGTGTGGGTCTATCTTCCTGTGGGGGTTTGCCTTAGCTTTTCCCCTTACACAGGCTTCACACCAAGACCTAAAAGGGAAGTGTGAAACAGCATGCTCTTCAAACTCTTTTCGCGTCGGGCGAATGGGAGCATGGATTTTGAGCTCAGGCGGCACTTCATCGCCTGGCTCGGCCTCTTCGGCCTGCTCGTCCACTACCGGACTTACCCATATTGCGGCGCCGGACGAAAGGGTGGAATGCAAGCGGCACAGAACAGACGCCGTTGCTGAACGAGATCGGAATCTTAGTCCCGTCTCGGGAGATCTGTCCACCAGATCCGTGCATCTGAATGCACCAGCCCTTGCTCATAAGGGCCCCCGCGGAGAGCAGCGGTTTTGCAACCGCCATCACCCGGAAACAGCAACGTCCATTGAGGGAGTTCTGGCCGATGCCGATGGTCACCATGGCATCGATCTTGCCAAGGTCCTTGACCACTTCGCCTGAGGCAGTCTTGTAGACTTTGCAGGTACCTTCAGGCTGGATAGGCTTGTAGCCCAATGCGGTGGCCAGTTCAACAGGGATGCAGGAGGTCGCGGCTCCTGAATCCAAGGTCACCTGATGAGCCATTGGCGTCTCCATGGATGCCAGCTCCAAACTCCTGAGAGCTAATAGATCCTCCTCGCCTTCATCAGGCTCGCTTGAAGGTGTGGGATATCGTTTTCCCTTTCCCTTCTTGGCCTCACGGGCAGCATCCTGAGTGGCCACGCTGACAGCTCGAGTCAACTGCACTTTCTTCTGCTTGCCCTTTCCTTGGCCCTTCTCGGAGGCAGCCGGAGCCGAAGCGGCTCGGCTTTTGCCCGGGGATCGTGACCGGGACTTCAGCCGAAGCGTCTGCCTTGGCGCTTCGCTGGATTCCTCTGGCTTGGATCCTGGTCCACGGAATCGCTCTAGGTGCTCTTCAGTCGAGCTCTTGAACCAGGCCATGCGCTCCTCCTTGGTCTTGCCCTTCTTCTCAGGAGGTGGAGGTGTCTTGGCAATGCGCCTTTGCTTTGGCGTCTTTGGGCCAACCTCATCTTCCTCCTCCTGTTCTTCCATCATCTGCTGCATATGGGCTGTCATGTAGAAAGGAGGTTCGTTCTTGACGGTCTCAAGCTTTGGATCTTTCATCTTCAAATGCTTTGCCACATCTTCGGGCTTCAGATCCATGTCGGCATCTTTCACATGCTTTGGCGCATCTTTTGAAGTTGGGCTGCCTTGCTGTCCCTTGGCAGTCTTGATGCGCTTTCCCATCTCTTTCTGCTTGATCGTCCATTCCTTTGCCCACTGGTTGAGGACTTTTGGCGGGCAACAATTCAAAGCCATATGATGGTTCCATAGGCCGGTGTCATTGTCACACCTCAGGGCCTTGTTGCACGCACGGCAGACCATGTTCTTGCTGCCATCTCTGTTCTTGTGGGTGCATTTGGCTACCCATTCATCATAGCTGAGGATGCGCTCTTGGAGCATGTGGTCGAGCCATGGCACAGTGTCTTTCTCTTTTTCTTCCTCTTGTCCATCTGACTCATCGTCAGCTGGCTCAGTGCCATTCTCATCCTCTTCAACTTCACCTTCAAACTCTTCTTCTTCTTCGAGCCCCTCGATCTCAGTCACATCAAGGGGATTGATGTTCTCCATGACTGGAGCTGCGAAGGATGGTGCGCTTGTTGCTCCTTCGCCTTGGCTTTCGACGCGCTTCATCACAACATAGTCCTCTGGGTTGAACCCAGCTGCAGTGAGCACCTTGTCGATGACACCGCGGGCTGGATGGCTAGTAGCCGTCCATGTCTGGCTTTCCCGCTTCATCTCTGCCAACTCTTGAGTGGAGAGATCCTCGATCTTGGGCTCCTTCTCTTTTGGCTTTTCAGGCTTCTTTGCCTTTCCTGGCTTCTTGTAGCCACGATGCCTCTGGGCCTTTTCTCGACCTCGAGGCTGAGGGGTTTCATCAAATTTTCCCTCATCATCTTCATCATCCCAAGCTTGAAGTCGACCAGTACCCTTGGCACGAGCGATCTCATAGTAGTCGAGCTCCTCAGGGTAATTGGCCTCATAGTCGCGCCAGGATTCGAAACGATCCTGGGCCTTCTCAACGCGATGTTGCTCAGCGCGCTGACGGCTCTTCTCTTTCTTCTTGGCCAATCTCGGGTCCATACCTGATGCCAAATCAGCTGAGAGCCTTGGCGACTCCGCCGGAACCGAAGCGGCTCGGCGAGGAGTTGGCCTCTTCAGCAAGATCTTGGCTTCTCTCTCCTTTTCTTCATACTGTTCTTTCAGCCTCTTCATCTCGGCCTGTTGTTCCAAGATGGCATCATTGGCTGCTTTGCCTTTGGCCTCGGCCTCTTCGATGGCCTTCTGGATTGTCTCAGACTTCTTCTCATACAGCTCGCGATTGGACTGCATGGTCTCTTGGATTGCTTGGTTCATGACTGCAATCCCAGCAGCTGCAATTCCAGGACGACCTTTTCCAGCTCCTGGCTTCTTTGGCATAGCCTTGACTTCAGTCTCAGCTTTTGCCTTGGCTGCTCCACGAGAAATTGCGGCAGGTGCTGCTTTCTCCATCTCGATGGCAAAGAGGGTGGCGATGTCAGCGGAATACTCAGGCTCGGGTTGATGCTCTTGAGCCATAGAGGTTTCAGATTCCTCAACTGAAGCTACCTTCTTACTTTTACTCTTGCCTTTGCCTTTAGAGTCTTTTCCTTTGCCACCTTTGCCTTTACCCTTGGAGTTTTGGTTGTACCAACTACTCTTGTTCCAATCATTCTTATACCAATCGTTCTTGTTCCATGAGTTGTTCCATAACGAGGGATTGGACCACGAAGAACCTTTTCCCTTCTGCTTACCTTTGTCGTTTCCCTTGCCTCCATCTTGACTCTTTCCTTTTCCTTTGCCGCCTTTTGAGCCACCTTTGCCTTTTCCTTTGGCTTTGGCCAGACTTGCAAGTGAAGCTTGCATCTGGCTGGCAGCTGCGGCTAGTGCATCAACATCCATTGGTGCTGATCCAGTCTTTGCTTCTTTTCGGCTCTCGATGTTCTCGAAGTGCCAAACTCTCTGACTTCATGATGGCATAGTCAGTGAGTCTCGAACTCTGGAGGTCAAGGTGATCTTGAAGTTTGGCGGGACACATCTGCTGAAGACAACTTCTTGCGATGTCATCATCAAGAGCTTTCTTCTTCCGCTCTTCATACTTTCGCCTGATGTTTTCCCAGGCTTCTATGCTCTCTCTGAGCTTGTCCAATGCACACTGTTGTGGGTGCAGGACCTTCTTCAGCAAAGCTGAGTTTGCTTGTGGATTCTGTGGATCATACTTGGTGATCAATCGTCTCAATGCCTCTAGGCCAAAGTGCTGACCTCTGGAGGTATTCTTGACAATCTCGAGGGCCTCTCCCTCACACAGTGAGATCAGAGCCTGTCGGGCCTGAGCTGAAACAAGCTCGGCTCCTTCAGGATAATCATCTTCCAGAGATGTCTCATTGATCTCTGTGTCTTGATGCTCTTCGAGGAGCTGAATGCACTTTCCTGCATTCTTGTGACTTGTCTCAATCCAAGTCTTGAACTTGAAGTACCATGAATCCCAGGTACCTGTGTGTCCACTGAACTTGTCAGGCTTTGGAATGCCTTTCAACTCGGATCTGTCTCTTACTTCTACGCTAGTGGCTATGTTCCTTGTGATTGCCGTTTGTTGTGTATACTGTATATGCTTCTGCCATTGCTCGTTGCAATTGGCTCTGCCCCTGTGCTAGGGCTTGCATCATCTGTGCAAATTGTTGTGCCATGTCTGTGGCTTGTGGTGCCTGTGCTCCTGGCTGTTGAGCCATGCTGACTTGCTAGCCAGGGATTGAAGCAATCCGGCTTTCCTGCAAGTGATGCTTGTTTCGTGGATCTCTGGTGCCAGAGCCGGTGCGGCTCGGCGACCTTCGATTCGCAGACGGTAGCCGGGTCTTAGAACCGCGGCTCCGCTACCATGAACGGAGAATTTAGGCTCTTAAACTCTGTGACCCCAAGTCACTGTCCCAAAGGTTGTAGTAGAAGCTTAGGCCCACTTTTAGCTCCACTCCAAGCGTAGCTCTGGTAGTGAAATGAACACAAAAGTAAACCACAAACGGCTGCAGTGAAACATACATCTATACAAGCTATGTCATGTACATGTAACTGGTGCTACATCTGATCATTTCCAGGTATATATATATATTATATGATATATTGTACAAACGGGTTCCCGCTTGGGTAGATCCTGACATTCCTCCAAATCAGTGCAGGGCACTGGTCTCGCTCCATCCGCCAAACAACGGACCGGGACGAGTGCTCTGTCGACGCCTGGTGGTCGCGGCTGGGCCGCCCAAGTCTTCACCACCGCGCGAGCCTCGGCAGGACAGGTGAGGCGGTCGGCAGGGGTCAACGGGTGGCGTGTGAGTTAGCATCAAAAGCTTTATGCTCTGAAAGCTATAAGTCTTGATTCAACAAATAGACAAATGATGACAAATGGATATCCTGCGAATAAGCATGAATAAGTGAGAACAGGAAGAGATTTCCGATATCACCACTGGTTTGCTGGAGGTTGTTCTCTAGGGGGCAAGAGTTTCTTAAAGTGTAGGTTTGGGATGGTTTGGGTCTTTACCGCGTCGGAGTATCGGGGTATTGGTGGGTGCCTGGTAACCTTTATTACATGTCCCACGGTTGGTTGTATGCGCATATCAGCGGTAATCTTTTAAACAAGACGCAACAGTAAAATCATGTACAGTCTCAAAATGAATCATGCAGTTCAAAGCAAACTACATCCACTGCCAATCAATGCCGACACATGCCACTTAACGCCATGGAAGTGGTACTCCCTGCCACACCAAAACAACTAACCAAAACGCCGATCCATGCCATTTCATGCCACCCCTTGCCCAGCATGAAGTGACGTGAAGTGGTCGTCACATACGGTGGCAGCCACGCTTGGCTGCGTCCAACCTGAAACAATAACAAACCAGCTCTGTCCCAAACCAGCGAGCTTAGGCTGCACGTGCAGCCTTGAGTGACTCTGAAGAAACAAAACATCCCAAATGTCCGGAGCCATCATGTCGCCCTTGTCAAGCGGCTAAAACTCATGTCACCCAAGGCACATCTGCCCGGTGCTTGGCGGTCGCAGAGGTCGTGAGCACGAAGACCTGGGTGTTCGGTCGTCGGCGATCGCGGCGAGGGCGGGCAAAAAGCGACACCATGTGGTTGTCGTGGTGGTTGGAGGCAGGTCATGCACTCAAAGGTGTGGAGCTGAGGATCTTTATATGAGCAACGGTCAAATTCAATTATTTATGCTAAGGATGTTTTTGTCGTTATCGTTTTTTGGGGAGACCTTATCGGTGTTCAGCTTTTTGTTCAACCAGATGCTTTTGGCATTCGCATTTGCATGGTGGATGCATGAAGCGGAGCTACCTACTCGCTGAAATCAGAAGCAGTGGATGACGAGCTTGTTCACAGCTCGCTTGTCAGCAGCGGACAAAGGCATTGCAATCTCGAGTGGGTTTGTGAAATTTGGTGTACCTATCTCTGTCTTAGTCTTTATCGGCCTTCTGTTTGCTGGGATGTAAAATACTAACGTGTTTCAAGAAATGGCTGTAGATTAGAAAAAGAAATAAAAAAACAGCAACAAACATTTTGATTCCAGAGTATATGGCTGAAGCCGCCCACTAGGGTACTGTCAGTGGGGCTCTCATTCGACATGCAACAGGTACTGCAAGGATCTGTCAGGAATGATAATAAATACCATCATACATAGGTTATCGGTTTTGGGGGGACCTTATCGGTTTCCAATACATCCTCACCCTAAGCCATTCACATCGACCTCTCCTGACTAAAGTAGTCTACACTTATTTTGACCCCACCTCATATATTTCATCAAATCCTTTCGAGCTGAGGTCATTTGTGTTCATTTCTTTAATAGATTTGATTTTGAAGATCTCTCTGTTTGGGGGTTGGAAGAGATTGGAAGGTTGGAGGCAGTGAGATTGACCGTGTATATAAGTCAGCCACCTCGCAAAGAAGTGTCCAGAAGGTAAAATTGAGTTTTGCACATAGTGTTTGATGTTCAAAAGTGCTGGTGGATTCACATGAACCCAGTTTAGCCTCTCCCATGCTAAGCTGCACTAAGTTGGCAAAGTGAAATCCTGGTGCTGGGGTGGTCACTTGCTTGGGTCTTCGATGATTCACGTGCCACTCCTACCATTACGGCGAACACATCCGAAAACCGATGTAATCACACATGTAGACGGAGAGAACCATGAAACCCTTGTATCCCGGGCAAAAAGGCCCAACAATAAGTTGGAACATCCCTCATCCCAAGAGCAGTCAATCCTATCTACCTAATTTCATCAAATCCTCATGCAAATACCGTGTGATACTCTGTGTGATCCTTTGTGTATCCTTGCAACTACAAAAACGAGTATGTTCGAAACCGCTGTACTTCGCCACCCGTGTGGCACGCACACTGTTGTGCCAAGACGCGCACACTTTGTGCCCAGCGCGCCGCAAGACGTCCGCCGCCAGACCGGTCGTCAGAGCCGATGGAGAGGCCCATTCCTGGCGCAGTTCGTGCCGCGCGCCCACATCTAGCTGGGACTCGCTGGGGAGTGGGGGGTGGGAGTTTGTCTTCCTCAAAACCAGTGGGGAATCCACGCCAGTTCAGTTCCGAAAAAGCTGGCAGTGGTTTTTGTACACCCTTTTTGGGCCCAACCTTCTCCCTGCATGGTATATCTCCTGAGAAAAACGAGCGGCAAAACCTCCAACCAAACTATGTTCCTTCGGTATTGGATATTCATTTTGGTGGGTCCCTTAATGGTTTTAAGGGTTTGGCTACCCTTCACCTCCCTTCACAGCTTTTCAAGCGTGGGCTTATAAGTTCTATCAAAACGTGAAGCTGAGCAGTTGCTTTTGCCAAGGGTGCCTTTTCTAGAATGAAGCTGCATTGACGGACACGTTTGCCAGTACCAATCCATTGGCCCCTCTGCCGAGGCTTCAGAAGCGGAGCCAGGGCGGAGTCTGCCAGCGGCGCAAGCATCTTGTCTGTGGCCAGTCAGTACGGTAGCTTCTTCGCATGCAGTGCACCAATTGCGTAAACAGCTTGCTTGTGACCACCTAGTCCTATAGCTTCGTTGCATGCACGCAGCAGTGCGGAAATGAGACAATCGACGAACAGGAACAAGGTGCAAATAAGTCAGTAGATAATTAAGTGGAACATATGTATGTTTCAATTTAGCGCTTTTGTATTTACTACTTCTACAGGGTTTGGAGCAAACCACATCATGGGAGTAGTTTAAACTCTTACATGAACAGTTTTGCCTGTTGCTCGGGTGCCGATGATGTAGTTGGATCAATTGAAACGTATGATGTATGGCATACAATGTACTCTAAACGCGTGCTGCAACCTTTCAAGACTCCGACAAGTTTGAGCCCCAACACGGAGGTTCCACTGACCCCCCAGATTGAGACCATTGAAACATTGCTCCACATACAAATGAAGCACCAGCCACAAAGATTGGGAAGTCACCCCGGACACCACCTCAACTGATCTGTGTTCAACACACTGCCTTGGCCAAATCCTCGGGCGAGGTCAGCTCCAACTGCCCACCGCCTCAGGAACTTCCAGGTCTGGCTTGGCCGGGCAAGGGGACGGTGTTCAATGTTAGAGTCCGAGAAGAAAGGTCCGAAGGCTTTGCGTGTTATGTGATACATGTGCTCCAAAGGTGGCAGCACTTCTTTCATCAGCAAATGTGAGATTCCAAACACAGGCAAGAAGGAACACAAAGTGAAAGGCCAGTTCTACAGGCGGGGCAGCGTGCTCTGACTGTTCGAAGCCAGAGCTGAGCCCACATGTAAAGCGATGGCCCCGAACCTTGGGTCGATCTGTTCGGAGGCAACGTGTGACGGAGGAAGACACAAACAATTGCTTCAGAGGGGACCCGTGGGACTGCCATATATATGCCGATCAGTTGGGGTGGTTATGGGGGTCAATGTAGGCATATATGGCATGTTGGTAACGTGGGGAGCAAAACCACGGACCAGTGCTAGGTTCACGAAGCCCTAGTCGAAGTCGTAGAACGGAAGGCCGCAAACCAACGGCCGTTTTCAAGCCATCGCTCGAGTGCGTACGCGGCCCGCCCTGTGTTTTGAGGCGGCGCGCGAGTTCAAGGTTTCACGTTCAAATTCTACGTTGTGTAGCACACAACTCACACGGGTGCAAAAAGGGCTGTTTGTTCAGCCAAAAACAAAAAGTCATGCTCGTGGCATCTGGCATCTCGTCTACCAGTTGACATTCGAGCTCACTGCCGTGCCGGTCAGGTCACCGTGGACATTCTGTGCCCAGTGCACACCTTCCATCTCGGATTGCGGCGTGCATTCCTCAAAGAACTTGTGGGCACATGCCTTGCATGGTTGCCTGGTGTATACCAGGTTGGCAGTGCGTTGTCCAACGCAGGCTCTGCTTGCATGCCAACAGCCTCCCATGCTTGCCAGGTACACTGGTTTCAGCGATGCCTGTTGCTTTGCCACCTTCAGCTTCTGGTCGAGCATCCTCTGCTGCTCATCCTTCAGCTTTTGTAGTTCTCGATGCAAGATCTCTTCGTGCCTCCGGGCATTTTGGTACTGGTGCTGTGCCAGTGCCCATTCATTCTTGAGATTTGCTACTTCCTCTGTCAATGCCATTTTGTCTTTCCTGAGTTGAATCAGTCTCTCTTCCTCCAACCCTGTTCTGGTTGTCTGGGCGCGTTGTCTTCGTTTCGGCCGGGGGTTCATTTCGTGTAGTTGTTGGCGTCCAGGTCATAGTCCAACCATTGCTGCATTTGATGCAGAACCAAATGAACATGCCGATCATCAAGGTGAACAGGATCATCAGGACATATTCCATCTTGTCATACTCGTCATGGTCATAGTTTTCCACCTTCGTCCCATAGGTCTCATTTATCTCCCATCCTGCCTTTGCGGAACACATGAAGTGTGTTGCGAACATAGCGAAAAGTGCTCGCTCTGGCTTCTTGATGGCATACATGTTCTCTCCTTTCTTGCGGCTTGCCATGTTCTTCTTCTTCGATGCCTGGAAATTGTCATCACTTGTGAGCTTGGTCATGTGTGTTCTCAGGCGTTGACCAAGTAGTGGAGCTGCTGCATCTTTGGTGAGGCCATCTGCATATTGGAGCTCCGATGATACCCATCGTACTTTACCATTGCAACATGCCAGCTTGTCTCTGCAAACCAAGGCTTCAATGGTGGTCCTCTTGTCAGCTCCTGTTGCAGCTTGGATTTCATCCTTCACAAGGATGTCGTATAGGGCCTTGGCGTCCACGACAAGTTTTGGGCTGTTTGCCAAGTAGCCGGTGCTGACGTTGTCCAGGGGCATCAATGCTCTGAAGATGAGGTTCCAGAAGAGTGTCGTGTACATGAGGCTGTCAGCTGCTTCACTTGCTGCCTGGCTTTCTGCTGACAAAGTGCTTCTCGACACTCGGGGCAACTTCCAGCTTCTCCAATCCAGAACGTTATAGTGCCCTTCACACTTGCCTTCTGCAACATCCCGATGACACATTGCCAGTATGTATCCTCCTTGACTGCTCAGATCACATCTTGTCGCAAAGGAGGCATCACTGTAGGCAATGAAGGTCATCTCATCTTTTGAGCCCAGTTTTCTGTACTGTAGACCAACGTCGGCATACTCTTTGGCATAGCGTAAGTGCTTGTTGCCCTTCTGCAATGTCTCGATCGTGGCTCGTGATGTTTCTCCAGCTAGCTGAGAAATTCCAACTTGCAGATGGGGTGCACTTTGTGTCGCTGGCCATTGTAGGCCTCCGATTAGGCCTCGTAGCAGGGATCTTTCCTTCTCCGTGACCGCCAGGGAGGTGTCTCTCAGCCTTTCCTTCGTGATAGGAATTGGCTTCACCTTGTGAATGTACTCCTCCTGCTTCAGCTCGATCACTTCCTCCTTCTCACAATCAATCTGGCTCCCGCAGTACTCAAGCTTGTTGCCGTCTTGCCACTCCCTGAAGGTGAAGATCTCCTGCAATTTCTTCTTCACATCTATGAAGTACTGATCTTGTGGATCGCTACAACCCACCAGGTCGTCCACATGAATACCAAAGATGCAGGCAAGATCTCTTTCCACCATGGGGTCCATTGCTTGTTCGGCTGGCAAGGGACGGTACACCAGAAATAGGCATGGATCCAGCGGATGCCGTTGGATATCACCACTTCCGGCCCTCAGAATCCTCTCACTTGCCTCCTCATACCATGCCCTCGGGGCATCACATAGTCCATACATTGGCTTCACCAGTTTCATCAGCGTTGAGTCATCTGGTTGTAGTCCCAAAAGTGCTTTTGCATCCTTGGGCAATTTGATCCAGATCACTCTGTTCGTGCTTTGATCGAAGTTCTTGCCCTGCAAGAATGCTGTGGTGATGTCACTGGTGAACATCTTCCAAGTGTAGAGCTGGCAAATGGACAAGATTGCGATCTTGCCTCTTGAGAGCCTGGTCAATGTTGGTGCATTTGTGTTGAGATTGCCGGAGAGTGCATCAGGATCCTTGAATCCCTGAGTGATCAACCTCGCTTTTGCACGAGGCGTCCCGTCCTCGTTCTTCTTCCAGGTCAGGATGAAGTGTGCCTTGAGGATCCTTGCTGGGTCGGCATTCCCTTCTTTGTCATAGAGCCAGACCTCGTTCTTAAAGAAGCTCTCAAGTTCCTTGATCTTGGCCTGCATGAAGGCCTGTCGATCGGACACCGACATGTGTCTCTCATACACTTCATCTTTTCCTTTCTTCTTCTTTGTCATCGGTTGATCTCCTGGAAGTCGATAGGACTTGTACCCCATGCTCTTCTGGCTGTAGTCCTCCTGTGCCTTCTGTCTCCAGTTTGGTTTGATCTTGAACTTCGTCTGGCCAGTCCAGTAGGCGGACTCGATCATCTGATTAGCACTGTGACGTTTCCAACGGTCCTTGTAGGTGCCGTGGGATGTGGCAGTCACACGCTCCTTGGCCAGGTAGTTCAGGTCCTCCTCTGTAGGTCTGAAAGCTCCCTTGCGAGGTACATAATGATTGCGGATCAGCCAGTTTCCTTCAATCGTCCACTCATGCTCATCTGTTGGGGCATCCAAGCAAAGCCATCCTCCTTCTACCTTCCATCCAGGTGGTAGATCAGTGACTGACTGGACATCGATGTCGATCTGCATATTCATCTCCTCGGGAGTCAACTGATCATAAGGTGTACTTCTCGATGTCTCCGACCGAATGGGTCCGTAGGCTTTTGGCTTGCTTAGGAATGAAAGAGTCTCTTGCTGATCAACCCTCGTCCTCTGAGCCTTGAAGCTCTCCCGATCTGGTCCATCGTACAGTCTCTTCTGATGTTCGGGTACTTCAGGAACTTCAGGCTGCTGTAGGGCCTCAGGGTTGTCCTCTCTCACTTCCTCTCCTGTTGCCTCAGGTGATTCGTGGCTCGAATCGGCAGGGACTCCTCCTCCTGCTGGTGCGAAGGAACTCTGTCCTCCATTTTCGGGTTCAATAGTCTCTTCACCATCCTGAGGTGGCTCGTTCTCCTTGTTGTCTTCCTGGTTCTCCGGATCTGGTTCACCAGGGTCTTGCAGGATGTCTTGGACGATCTCCTCGATGTCTGAATCCTGAGTCTCCGCAATGGTGAAGGTTGTCGTCCCGGTCCAGGTGTAGTGAAGAGATCTCCCTGCGTCTAGTCTTCTCCACTCATCTCGAAGATTCACCCTTGCTGGATGTGGGGGCTTTCTTCTCACTGTTGTCACCCTTTCATCAGTGAATTGAGCCGTTGGGATGTCATCGTCCTGCTCAGGGACAAAGAGTTCCCTTCTTGGACGGTTGTGCACTCGAGTCCAGACTCTTCGATCATCACTAACCTGCCAGGTGTGCTCCAGGCCCTCGTCCTCTGATGCATCTTGGGCGCCATCTTGATCATATTCCTCTTCTTCATCTCCACTTGATACTTCATGCCTCTGTCGCTTGTTGGACTTGGTCAAGTCAGTATATTGGGTTGTACCTCGGCTTCTGAGGCTCTGAAGGGCTTGTTGTGCTCTGAAGAACGGATCATCTTCCTTGGGCTTTGGCGCTTCTGATGCTGGGACAGGTCGAAGATGTTCCGGCGCCGCTCTCAACAAGTTGGTACCGTGGACAATCCAGTAGATAGTGCTATAGGGTCCTGCCTCCAGTTGTTCAACCATCACCACTCGTGCTGGTCCTCTCCATCGAAGTTTGGGTCCAATGCCACCAGGTCCATCCCTGTAGTAGTAGCAAAGGTCGCCCAATTGATAGGTGGCCAGCTGTCCCATGTACTTCCTGTTGAGTGCCCGTCTCAATCTTGTGTCTACATCCGCAGAGAATACTGCATTTGCTGCTGCCTTCTGACTCTTCAACTTGTTGAGGAACTCGTCAGATGGTTCCAAAGTCGGTGGAGACAGAGGCTCCTCTGTGAGCAGTCCTGGGACATGGGGAGTGTATCCCAACACCCACTGCACTGGGCTGTATCCTCAGACATTTGTCCTCCGGTTGATCTGGGGAACCACGTAGCATAGAGCTTGTATGAGTCGTTCTCGTGGTTCATGAGGAAGCTTCACGTCCCCTTCTTCTTGATCTGCGAGGTACAGTTCCAGGGCACGCCTTGTGACTTGGTGTCATCTCTCCAGGATTGCAAGGCGGGTGTGGCTTTGTCCTGGCGATATCTGCAGTTCCACTCCCTGTTCTGAACACCAGGATCGAACGTAGTCCGAGCTCCAGCTTCGGTGGTCATCAACCTGCAACGTCTTCATCGGGCCAAAATTCCGGATCCATGCTCTTTCCAGGGCCAGAATGAACTCATCTGGTGACTCACGGAGGAGCACCCTTCCTCCAAGGAACCTTGTGGCAGCATCACTGATCATAAGCACTGGTAGGGCACGTCGGATGTTGGGAATCCGGATCCACAATGTGTCTGCCTGGACTCGACTGTTGAACTCCTGAGCATTGGGAACAGAGGAGACTGGTACTTGTGGTCGTCGTTGGTGTTGAGCGCAAACAGTACATTCATGTTCCCGTGCACATTGGACAAGCACCTCAGATGCTCGCTTCATCTCCAACAGCCTGGTCAATTCGGCATTTGTGGGATGTCCAGGATTCCGATGAAGCCGACTCACTGTCCTCTTTGCTTGCTGACGATCGTGAGCATGCAATCGTTGTAGAACTCCTGTGGAAGGTGCAGTGTCTTCTCGAGGACCCTCGACTGAGGGATCATCTCCTCGAGCTTCTCGTACTGGAGCGTGCAGTGGCTGTGCATCATTGGGCTCAAGATCATCCATGGCTTCGCGGTCTGCTATTGTTGGCGTGTACTCCTCATCATCCATCTCCTCAGCAGCAGCCACGAAGTCACCAGGCTCATAGTAGAGCATATCAATTGCCTCTCCAATGAAGTAGCAGAAGGTTGGTTGGTAGGCTCCTGCAGCCTTTGTCAGAGATCCCACTCCCGGAAGTGATCCTTCGAGTGGTAGGTGCTCGTGGTCACCTGGACATCGCCATGCCAAGAAGTCAACCATTGAGGCACTGGTCAGTTGCAGCCTCGTGGGCTTCTTCACATAGAGGTCTGCGATCTTCGTGTCGTAGGCACACTGATCCAGCAAGCATGGCCATCCTGCCAACTTCTTCCAGGTCTTGGTGTCCCAGGCTTTGGATCCAGCAGGATGCTCAATCCCGGCGTCCCTTCCTTCGTTGTACTGGATGGTGAAGGACCGTTCTGCTACCTTTAGATGAACTGCTTCTTCATAATCTCGGTCGCATTGAAGGGCAAACTCCTGCTCGGGTGTCAGTGTGTTCAGCGCCTGCATGCGAGACCACTTTTTGCACGCAGGGGCAATCCAGATGAAGTCTGGGGAGATGTCTTCAAGCAACTTGTAGTATGCATTTCGATGGTCTGGAATGTCCAAGTCCCAGCCTGTGTTGAGGTCAAAGCTGAAGACTATGTAGCCTCGTCTCTGCATCTCCAAAGACAAACCAGCTTCACCTGAGTAGACTTCCCAGAAAACTTTCATGCCTTCTTCATGGGCGCGCAGTCCTTGCTCCAGAACTGTGCGTCGATGTGCAAACATCGTGGCATGATGGAACCGGATGCCTCGAAGCAGCTTATCCGTAATCTCCTTTCTCACAAGCGCCACTTCATCGTCATCTTGGGCTTGAGGTGGCTGACAACCACTTGACTCTTCATCCGTCACGTTCTCATCATCTGCCTGTAGACAGTGCTCTGGTGGTTCTCTGCCTGTGGCTTCCAAATACTGGATGAGGGTGTAGGTGGACGTATGCATTATGCCCTCTCTCTGGACCATCTCAAAGGTCTCCGTGGTGACCAGGTCGAAGTCCAACATCTTTCCTTCAGGGTCCTGGCTGATCCAGCCTGAGCAGATACTCACCTCGCTCCCCCTTCACCGCAGGCTTCCAATCCTCTTCATCGTAACTGATCATGTCCTTGTTCCAGTCGACACGGACCTTGAGGGCCTTCAAGATAGGCCTGCCGATCAGAAGCGGGGTTGAGCCATCCACCAAGAAGCATTCAACCAAGCCGGACTTGCCGTTGACATACACAGGGAGCTTCACTGTCCACTCGGCTTTCCTCATGGCATCACCTCCGAAGCCAAACATCTTTGTAGTTGGATGGAATGTGTACCTCTCCAGGGGGACACCACATCCGTGCATGTACTCGATGATCTGCATCAAAGTCTGGTGTCCGCACACCATGCTGCTGGCTCCACCGTCCTGCAGACCATACCATCCATGTTCCGAAAGAGCGGGTAGTCCATGATCCTGCAAGTCATACATCATGTATGCTTGCCCAGTGCCTTTGTTGGCTGTGTCCATCTTGGCTCTCTTCGGGGATTGGGAGGTCTTGTTCATGGGACATTCAGCGGCAGCATGTCCATACCTGCCGCACTTGAAGCACTGCATGGTGTCCAAAGCTGTCCTTCCCCTGTTCAGAGCGGACCCCTTCTGAGGTGGGGACTTGTTCTTCCCCTTGCCCTTCTTGCCTTTTCCTCCCTTGGGAATTGGCCTCTGTGAAGTCGCCGTAGCTGAACTGGATGAGGAAGGCATCTCAGGAGTCGTCAATGCCACCACTGGATAAAATCCTCTCGAAGCTTTGATGTTTGCAAATTGCCTTCTTGCATCAAGGTACGTGGCATAGGCTTCCTCCAGTTGAGGATCAGGTTCATCGGCCCATCCATCATCCTGGTAGTAGAGCTCGTCGTCAATAGCCTCATACTCCTCGGTCTCGTCGTAGTTGGGCTCTTCCTCATAGGGCTCCTCCTCGAGAAGGGCAAATCCATCCTCTGGTTCCTCCTCGTACTCCGGGTCGTAGTCCTCCGCTGCATAGCCTTGTTGGCTCTTCCTTGGATACCATCGCTGACCTTTCCCCTTCGGGTTCTTCTGCCATTTGGTGCTCTGGTCAACTCGAGATCTATAGTCCTGGCCGAACAGGTAGTACATGGCCTCTTCGATCTTTGCCGTCTTCATCTCGGCGCCGACCTGGGATTGCACGAGCTGACGCTGTTCCAAGGTCAGTTGGCTCCTCCTCAACAACATCCAGCCGGACACACTGTCCGGTATTTGGATACCGAATTTCTCGATTTCTCGCAACTGCTCTCTGTGGTCTGAGCAGTATGAAAGAAGGGTTTGGTCTCCCCTTCTCGTGAGTTGATAGAAGAACTTCTCCAAGGCTCTCGGCATTTCGACACGACTGTCGTATTTGAACGCAGCATCCAACGTAGCAAGCACTCTGTCGAAGCCGTCGGAGGACTCCACAACACTTTCAACCAAGTGTTCAACTTGTTTCCAAGCCACTCCATGGAGACTTGTCAACAAGTTCAGAATGGCTTCTTTCTCTTTGCCCTGCAAAGCCAGCTTGCGCTTGTAAAGCATGATGCGCTGTCGCCATTCCCGGTAGTCGTTGACACGGTTGTTGAAGATCGGGATGTAGGTGTCTCGCATCGCTTCAATGGTCCCACCAGCCATCGAAGATGTAGTCGATGGACCGGAGGCTGAAGGTCCATCCCCTGGAGCGGGCATTGAGCGTGCCACGCTCCGCTACCAATGTTGGTAACGTGGGGAGCAAAACCACGGACCAGTGCTAGGTTCACGAAGCCCTAGTCGAAGTCGTAGAACGGAAGGCCGCAAACCAACGGCCGTTTTCAAGCCATCGCTCGAGTGCGTACGCGGCCCGCCCTGTGTTTTGAGGCGGCGCGCGAGTTCAAGGTTTCATGTTCAAATTCTACGTTGTGTAGCACACAACTCACATGGCATAATTACATGGAGTGTCTGGGAATTGCTTCACTGGAAGATACTGTAGGTTATACTTTTTGACGACAATGTGTGTGTGTGTTGACCTTAAAACTGTATAACGACACGCTGGAGGTGAGAGCCCGGCCATACTTTCCGTCTCGCCATCTTGTGTACGCGCGGGAGAGGAAGCAGGCCTGTCGTTTTCGTTTGCGGCTTCGTGATTATTCCTCGTTCATCCTCTTTCCTATACATGCTTCGCAGCGTTGAGACTAGCGGATGAAGATTGGATATGGCGACATGGTCTGTCTTTTCTTGAATGGCCCCATCAGCTGTTCATACAAAGGATCACAAAAAAACGACGAAATCTTCACCTGAGCATGTCGAGATTGGCACCTCTAGCGGTCCTCCAGCCCGCAAAACATAACAAGAATAGGACATCACAGCATCCAGAAAATGGTTGCACCCAACAGAATGTCGTCATCACAAATGTGACCTTGCAACAGCAATAGGCTTGACACGACTATGTGACTATATTATGCCTTCCCAAGTGCCCACAATCCAATCATGATCAACATCTCCCACTGTTTGATCAGGATTCTTAACATCACCTTCTTCTCCCCATCGGCCAGATAAAAAGATTCGACTGAAACACAGACCTTTCACAGATCCACGTAGTGATCCACAAGACCTCTTTCTCCGCAGGCTTTTGCATCCTTCCTCTCCAGCTCGGTCACCCACGCCCGGCGCCCCACGCCCCACGCGCCCGTCCACGGCGCCCGGAGAGGTCGTCCGCCCGTAGGTCGTCCGGTGCCTGCAGGGCCTGGCGGACCTCCGGTTCCAGGCTCGGCCGCGTGGCGTCCAGCGGATGCCGCGCATCGGGCCACGTGAGGCCGCGGAGCGTACAGGCCTCGGGAAGAAGCCGCGGATGCCCAAGGGGGCAGTGGATGACATGATGGCGGTTTAGGTGTCTTTTTTGGGGGGGGCGTCCGTGGTTGTGAGTTACCTATATATATATATATACGGTCGGGCAATGATGAAGAGTAGTTGAATAGGTTGTAGCACTGTATAGATATGATCATCTGTGGTATAGGTATAAGCGGGATACCTGGTGGTTAGGGAAACGGGTTCATCTTTTGGAGAATCTGTGACTCTGGATGTCGGTGAGAACCACATAGCAACAGAAGATGCTTTGGATCAAACGGTTCCAATAGATGATGAACCAATTTTTTGCTGAAGTAAGGTGAAACCACTTCGATTTGGCATGTGATCCATTGGTTGTAAAAGAGCACTATATAATATATCTATATAGTTCCTGCTATCACAATTTATGTTATTAATGTCCGACCACTTGTTGATAGGTACCACAGCACAAAGAATGGATTTGGTATATATATATAAGTATATAAATATATGGGTGTGAATGTTCATAGGGAGATCACCAATGTCCCTTCTTCCTGAAGGTCTTTGGGGGTCTACCTCTGGCCTCCTCAAGTACAGCAAGCCTCAGAAGGTTCAAAAGGTATAATCGGTACAATGATTGAAGCTAGATTGTATAAACCTTCCATTCTTGCGCTCACCTACCTACCCACGATCAGCAGCTCATGCAAAGTAGATGCTCCACCGGCTACAAATGCTCTCCGATCGGCTGGCTCTTGTTGGCTCTCAGACCTATTCATGACGTTTTGGCTAGTGTTCTTCTGCTTCTTGCCTTTGGACCTCATAAATCTTCGTGGATTTTGGCGAAGCGTATTATATTTGTGAGTGTTCCTCTTTCTGTGCAAAAAGAAATTGACCATGGATCGGCTCAAAATCTTCACCCACTGACCATCCAAATCTCCAGATCTGCGGCTCCTCTTTCTCGCCAAGAGCAATGTTGACCCTGCCACGTCCGAGCCACAATGCCAGGATGCCAACGTTGGCTCTTCCCCACATGGCGATGAAGGTCCACCAAGTCCTGCGCAGAATCCAGCATCGCATGGCATCGCTCCACTCCACCGGGTTGAGAAAAGGAGGTGTGGTGTGTGGTGATGCAGCCGGGTTAAAAAATGGATCGATGGATCCAGGTTCGACACTCACGTGGGAACCACACAATCACTTGCGGACCGACCGCAACGTGGGCAAGCCTACAGCAGGTGTGAAATGTTACAAAGTGTTTCGGAAGGAGGAAAGTCAGAGAGTCTCAAAATCAATATATACATCAACCTGGCGGCCCTGGCTGGCTTGGGGCCTTTGGATTCTTTGGATTCACGCACAGGTCCGCTACAGTAGGGTTGAGCGCCTCGCAAAATGAATTCCCTAGTTGCATGCAGTCTGTCATGCCTGATTAATCACGTTCCTATGTCAACACTGGTGAATAGAGGCGCTGTCCAGTGCTGATAGGAGTGGATCTCAGGCTAAAAGCTGGTTGTAGACAAAAGCCATATACTGTATTATGGTTTGCCCAACCCAGCATGAGAAGTCAAGACTCTTTGACTCTTTGATATTGGTGTTTCAAAGAGATGGTCAGAAACCAAATCCGCGAACAGCTAACAAGGCCCGTGCTACACTGCACAACAGCACACCCATCACTGCTTGCTGAACATGGCATTGTCGGCATGAAACGCCAACCTGCGCTGCGGCATGAAACGCCAATTCACAACCTAGGCCAACCCGCAACCTAGCCACTCACAATGCCGGGTATTCCTGCTGGGTACGGACAGGCAATCCCTGACACCCCACACCAGAGCAGGTCAAGCCAGTCAGCACGGTTGCCGGCGGCTATAGCTTAGCTCACTGGCGAAGCGAACTCCTCTTGAGTTCTGGGGCTTTCAAGCTTCAGTATTCGGGTCCTGCTTACCTTGAGCCCTATTCGCCTTCGTTATTGCTTGCAAAGGCGGTTCTCCAGTCAAATCAAAATTTTGCAACTGCTCCACGACCTCAGTTTTCATTAATGAATGCTGGAAACTCTTGTCGTAAGTGCTCAAGTCAGCACCAGCAATCTGAAGTCCATGTGAAGAGTTGAAGCACAACCAGCAGCATGTTGGAACGCATCTGTGCCCACAAGAACTGGACTGATTGTCGATGTGCAGTATTGATTGACAGGTCCAGAAGTTCTACTGAGCCCTTCATTCCCAGCGAAGGATGCTGAAGGGCCAGACGCTGCGCATCTGCACGTCTGCTTGCTGACTGCACGCTGAGCACTCTCAACATCGATGTCCAAAGCTCCATGCTTGGTCAAGCATATATGCAAAGATCGCCTCTGAAGAGAGCCACGCGTGGGGACAATGTACTCCAAAAATGCTGTGCAGCATGGTTGGCAACAAAGTACTGTACACATGGTCGTCACTCTTTCGCGGATTGAATGAGTGCGGATCAAGCATAAAGACTGGAATTTTGTCAGCAGGGTATCCCCTCAAGATCTGATCACGCAACGTGTGATTGTTCAACAGTATGAGTAGCAGACAATGCTCGAGTAGCGTGGGGGTGTCCCCGAGTCGGTGGTGTGGCAAAATCCGTGATCCCCAGCAGCAAGCAAATAACCACAATCACACTCACCTGGGTTCAAGACTTTAAGATCTCACATTCAGTCTCACATTGACTCTTCAGGTCTGGGTTCAAGATGGTTCAAGGGTCTTAAGATGTCTTAAGACACATTCAATCACACTCACCAGATTTGAAGCAGAATCCCTTGAAGATCGTGGACAAATGAAGCTCGTGAAGTGCCACAAGACCACAGAGGGTGGCATGATGTCACTGTTAAACGTCCTCCTTTTTAGGCCTCCTGGGCATCTATTCAGATCTGGTTTGCCAGTAGAACTGGCGGCTCTGTGAAACAAACATGTTTGGAGAGATTGTGACGCGCAACCAGAACCTTGGCAAAAATGATTGAGGGGCCTGCCCTCCGTGCCGCCGTCTAGAGTGCCTGAATTCATCCTTGCCGCCTTGTGCCATCAACTGCCACCGGATACTGATCACTGCCACCGGATGCCCGGCTTGCCCCCCTCGGAAAACATCGGTCCCTCCTCTGGTGTCAAGCCCGAAAGAACCAAAAGGCATTGCCTTGGCGCCCGAGAAAGCGAGCTACTTTGAACTTCTCGAGGTTCAATCAGAAAACGCCATGTACAAGGCTCCTGCTTGGGTGACCGCTGCCGGAACGAAGGGAACTCCGGGAACTGGGTTAGGGCCATTTGTGCCACGAAGACTCATGCATTCTCCCTGATTGAACAGTAGTTGTCCTCAAAGTCTTGTTGGAAGGTCCTACTAGTATGAATGGATCTCCAGTTGAACCGTCCTTACCTGGCACACCGGGGTCTGACTGCATATTAGACGCACGCACGCAGGCCCGCCCGCCCGGCCGCCTGCCCGCACAGGCACACGCACACGCACAGGCACACGCCCACGCGCACACATACACGCAATCAATTGCTTTAGTTCATGCTTTTGTCAGGATGATTGGGTGGTCAGGTGGTCTGTCATCGCAACACACTCGTGTACCTATTCATCAAGAAGTGTCTCTTCATAGCCTGCCAAACTCACCAACATTTCAACCCCACGAGGGGTTCTCTCTATATATATATAATTTATATGTTTGTTTCCTGGTCTTGTGTGTCTGTTTTCTATAGTACATGATGGAACACAAAAACTGAGAGTAGATTACACCACCAAAACTGATCAAAACGATGTGTCCATCTCATGTCGTATCTCCCCGCCCCGGCGGAGGCGATACGAACCCCCTTGGTCCGCTCAGCCGAAGAGCACGAGAGCCACCTGCGTTCGACTCTTCAGCCCAGGCGCAACACGCTGAGCTTGCTGTAGAGATACTCAGTCTCAACAGCTAACCTGCAGGTGAGAGCTGTTTAACTAACCTGGTAACCTGCACTTAACGCACTTAGCGCAGAGCTGGTTTTTAAGCTACCGAAGGTCAAACCTTCTGCTCGGCAGGTGAGGCCTTGGTCGGCCTGACGGCGAACAGCCGTGAGTCCGTTCGACCTTCAAGGCGACGCCAAGAAGTGACCGTAGATTCTGCTGAAATGGTTTGCAGAATGCCACGGCTAGTAGGACCATGATTCTTGAGGCAAGCATTGCTAAGTATGTTGCCCTTTGGTCCGAACGTAGCGTTCTTGTTACTAGTAGTAAGGCCAGGAGTGCCCCTAGTTGCGTCCTTGCTCCTAGTTGCGATGCCCTTTGTTCCGAGTAGCGTTCCTGCGCCCAATGTCTCCTTTTCAAATCAATGCACGATTTGAGAAGGGTCCAAGCATGTGCCGCACAGTTTGTGTGAAAGCAGAACATTAAGCGGAAGGTCCATCCGCCAGCATTTTGCAGTCAACCGAAATATGGTAGGAAAAAAGCACAATCACAACAGTTGCATGACAACCACAGCACCATTGTCTGCGCTAAGTTTGGAAAGGTTCACGAGTCTACAACTTCAATTGAGGTGTTTAGTGTGAAGTGTGAGTGGCAGCTACAGCAGAGTTATCATTCAACATCATCAAGCTGTATATCCTGTTCAAGTTCCGCTATATACTATAATGATTGTCTTCTATATTGAGTGCTTGCAGGACCTGGTGTTCTTCTTGTATTTTTGACTACAGTGACTTCAGGCTACATGCTAGAAACCCCAAGCAACATCAAACAACCAAACTACAGCTGTTGGGAGAACTGTGCATTCTACAGTCTACGCTGAAACCAACGAATACAAATTCTTTCCACAGGACCTTTCAAGTCTCAAAATGCTTCCGAACTGACCGTGGTCATATGCTATTGCTATTGCCCACTATTGGTGCCATATCTGCTCGAAGATTGAGCATTGGGAAGCCAATGGCATTGAGGATTGATGTGTCATTGGGGTGCCCAAGGGCAACAGGGGCAACTAACAAGCATCGGCAAGTATATGAATTGCATAACTCGCCTCCCACACGACCGGGCGTGGGCCGCCCCGCCTCTTCCAAGCCTTGCTGTATGACCCTGCTAGCTCCAGGTCCTGACGAGTTTGGGCGAAACGAGATGAGTTCGGGGGGTCCCGAGCTACTCGATGACGTCCCACGCATGACCCGATGGCAAAAAGGATGGCATCTCGCGTTTTTCCATCAGCCAAGATCAAAGAAGTATACTGAGCCTTGCGTTCAGTGGGTCTGTGTGCTTTACAATTTAGTGACATGCAATAGAGCCAATGGGGAGCAGCCTCGTCTGCCCGATTGATTCAGCAAAGCCAACACAGTGGTGGACTGATCCAGCAAGTGCTGGACTGGATACCCACAGCTGCAAAGCCCCATGGCCGAAGCTTGTAGTGGAGGTGTCTGCCGTGAAAAAGGTATCTGCCGCGCCCGCCCACACTTTGGCACGGTGCGACGGTACACACAAACAGTTTGGCACCAGCATGCAGTAGTATAAGCTCGAGAACGAACCTGCAAAAACTCACATCAAGGGTTCCATTAAAATGGACCTGGTTCTGAAGTTGAGGTTCATCGACAACAGTGTCGTCCAAGGCTCCATGTTCGTGTGGAACTGCAACGTGCACACATGCACACAGCATGACATCTTCACTTCTGCCGGAGGAGCTGCCTCATCACCGTCTTCAGCCAAGAGATCTGGTCTATTGAAGTGATCACAGGGTACTCAAGTTCGCGCAAGTAGCTGGAGCAAACTACGTGGAAGCAGGCTTTGGATCAAGTCTTCCTAGACCTATTTGGCACCATTTCCTGAAATGCTTCCTGGACCTTTTTAAAGGACCATTTGGGATTCAAGTAGAAACGGTGTCCAGTTGAATCCTCACAACCTGGAAACCCAAACAAACTGGATGCCCCAATGGGGTTGTTTGGGAAAACATCAATTTACAACCGCAATTCCTCCAGAAGTCTGCAGCAAGCAGTGGCAAACATGTCCATACCAAGTTCCTCTTTCGAATGCGGCCACCTCTATCTGAATCCCTCAGCTATAGCCGCTTGTCTTGGTGTCCAGTGTTTTCAGCGGCAGGTGTTGTCTTGGTGGAGCTGTTTGAC